CTAGAGTTTAATAGGCACAGGTCTAAGTTGATATTGTTACTTCTGGTAATTACATTATGATGATCATTATTGTCACAGTTGGCTTTGATAAGATTGTTAACATTTACTTGTGTTGGTGTTGAATACTTTAGAAATCTATCAGTAATTCTAACTGGGATATGATTAAGTCTCTTTAAGCCAGATGACAATCCCCTTCGTGTTCGTTTGAATTTAATAATGTTTCTAGAACCATGGATGGATAGAATATTACTGTGTTTTAGTTTTAGTAGATCACCTTTAGAATACTTGAACTTGACATCAGTTGAGCTGTTATCACCACAGACAGCCATACCATGTACAACTGTCACTAGTTCAATGTATACCTAGTTTCACGCTTCAGTGATTGCTATGTGATGACCATAACCTAGTTTCACGCTTCAGTGATTGCTATGTAATGACCATAACCTAGTTTCACGCTTCAGTGATTGCTATGTGATGACCATAACACTGGGTGCACAATTATAAAACTTCAAATAAAACAAAAAATATAGATTTTTCTGCTAAAAGTCCCAAATATACAGGTTCCAGGAATCCAAACAAAAAACACTGTTGTAAAAATTATATCTAGCAACTAGACTTGCAATACTTAAATTGAAAATTCACAGAGCTGAAACTGGGAGCAGCCACTTGCGCTCACCATACTGATTTTCTACTTTTATATGTATTTCAGAGATGTGTTTGGATAAAGGATGAAGTTTGAAAATAGTGTGATGGTCATTTGAGCAGAATTTCCTGAAGATATTTATCAATAAAGATTTGAGTTAAGGAAGATGGTTGAGCCGGGCCCGTAGCCACGGGGGGGGGGGGCTTAGCCCCCACCCCCACCTCCAAAATCGAATGCCCCCCCCCCCAAATATTTCGCCAACAATAATGATTTCTTAGGAGCGTTTTTAGCCGGCCACATCTCAGCCCCTCCAAAAAATTCCGTAGCTCCACCCAATTTTAAGAGCTGGCTACGGTCCCGGGTTGAGCACAAAATGAAAAAAGTACACTGTAATATTTATACGCAGTTATTCGCCTTGCTAAAACAGAGGTGTGTTATCGTCAAATCAACAGTGGCTAATTGACCAATCAAAACACAAGATTCACACTTAAGCATGTTACAATGATGCGTATAATGCCATATAATACTAAAGCATAAACGGACTGATAGAAATGAAATGAAATGGGGTTTAACGTCCTACTGTTCTGCTCCAAAACCGGGCTAATGAAGATGGGCATACGCCATACAGTGTGCTATGAGGGGATTTTGCCCGGGCAGCGGCGCTACGGCCTACTCTTATATCGAATTCCAACTGTCAAGTGATCTTTTACGTGCACGCCAATATTTACACGGGACCTCGGTTTTTCGCCCCATCCGAACGACTAGACAGCTGTCCTTGTCAGGCCATCCGTCCTGCATCACTGACAAGGGGAAACCACGCCGGAAAATCTGGATGAACTTTTTCGGCCAATACAGGGATCGAACACCCGACCTCACGTACTGATAGATATAACGTCATATAATATTGATGCGTATAACGTCATATACATGTACTATTCAAAGCCCTGTATAGGGAAAGTTACAACTCATTTACAGGCGCCATGTTGGGTCCCAATCATGACGCCATAAAAACTATGACGTCATATAGCTTTACTTAACAAAACGTTTTATTTTTTTATTGGTATAACGTTTTACGGGTCCTAAACAAATTGCAAAAGAAACCAATGCAGTTTGGTTCAATGATAAATATGTCAGACAAAATCATACTCAAAATCGGCCAAGGCAAAATGACATGATTAATAGAATTAAATTTGGCGTTCTTCAGGAATTATCGGAGAGCGATAACTTGTACTGAGTGTCTTTCAATGGTGGAAGGATAAATAATTCTTTTTAAATTCCTCAAACACAGAGTAGTTATGCAAGCGAAATGTGTCGAAAAATCGAATTTGACAAATATCAATTTAAAAAATGTATTTGTCATTTGGTGGCGGGCATTTCTTTCAAAATGACTGCCACATTTGGTAATATAATACAATTTTTAAAAAAAATGAAAAAAAAAGAAAAAAAAAGAAACAACATTAATTTAGTAATAAAAGGGCAGCGATAATCTCTAAAATTTAATTTCTAGAATTCCTGGGTATGACTTGTAATATGTGGTATATTAATCCCGAAATGAATATAATGTGAACGCGCTTTAAACATCTAGATGCAATAGACTTGGTGGTGAAAATGCTCGGTACATTGAAATGTTGGCAATAAAGATCCAGTTATAGTTTTTAGTTATACTCTGTTAACCACCCATAGATGTTTTAATGACAATAAATCATATACTTTATTCAGCTCGGCGCAAGACTTAACATGAATAGATGCAGTTCGTTTAACTTGAATGTAGATATTATATATCTATTTTCCATATATATGACCTTTCGGTTGAATCATATCATAATAGTATCTTATTTCATAGTTTTACGTATTTGTCGACAATATGGTGTACTTGTTCTATTGTTCCATTTAGCCCATGAATTTTCTTGTTTCACTTGACTGAACAAAACATATTGTAGGAATGTAGGCTTTTATAGATTGAACAAAAAGCTGATAAATGTTGAGATGTGTGGAACATGGTCGAGACGATTTGTGACAAACCTCAGACACGATATATATTTGATGCTAGTGGAGCATCAGAACAACATGATTATTTCATTGGAAATGGGGCGCAAATACCCAAAGGAGTCGGACAAACTCGAAACCAACTGTGTCTCCTTCACTGGGCCCATTCAATGCCTGTCAACCTGTGGAATAACATGTACATTATTTGTATCTGTTAAATTGTGCGGTTTATATATTAGATAAATATTATTATTTACACATGGGCGGGAAGTGATAACGTCTTACCCCAAACAAATTGCAAAAGAAACCAGAAAGTTTCGGAGAGCTCTATCTCATATCACGTCACTTATGAAACATATGCCTGAAACACATGTCACTTATGAAACATATGCCTGAAACACATGTCACTTATGAAACATATGCCTGAAACACATGTCACTTATGAAACATATGCCTGAAACACATGTCACTTATGAAACATATGCCTGAAACACATGTCACTTATGAAACATATGCCTGAAACACATGTCACTTATGAAACATATACCTGAAACACATGTCACTTATGAAACATATGCCTGAAACACATGTCACTTATGAAACATATGCCTGAAACACATGTCATGCTGTTAGACACCTTTTCTTTAAATTACACTGATTTTACACTGGTTTTAAGCTACGCTGATTTTAAATGTTTTATCCATTAGACAATTTAAAGAAATTTCTATTTTCGAAAAATTGATAATACAATTAATGATCGATGACCGAAAACTGTCACACAATCCGGAATGGCTCCAGACCAAAAAATCATGGAATTTCAGGCATTTATTTTGTCGGCTAGAAGGCAAAAAGGTTTTATCTCACAAATTACTATTTAAATTTTCATTTTTCACTTTACCCGTCTGCACAAACAATCAGGCCTCAAGTTCACAAAGCATTCTCAGACTGAAGTTAAGAATTTACTCAAAATTGTTGGCCATATTTTAACTACAATATAACCCTTTATAAAACTTTTGTTGTTTTAATGTATCAAATACATCAATAAGACACAATGTGCAAACGGTGTCTGAAAGTTGAGTAATTTCTTAACGTAAATCTGAGAATGCTTTGTGAACTCAGGGCCTGATTTTTAAAAGCGTATGCAAGTTAAATATATTTAATAGCGTTTTTATCTGGTGTATCTTTCATTTCATTTTCTCATAAATTAGACTATATTATTATAACCATAATGTGCGTTTTTTGTTGTATAATAATAATAATAATAGTTTGTTCAGCTATACTTTTCGCGTAAAAAAAGTATGTTTTATCTCTTTTTCGCGGAATTCTATGACATAACTATCTACATCCCTGTCGGGGCAGCCGACTTCGACACAACAGTATGGTAGGACATAAAATAGATAGTGAGTAGGTACAAATACTTGGGACCCAAGATGGCGTCTTTGTACACTTGACGTCATATGAAATTTCTGGCTTCACAGTTGTCGCAACTTTATCTATATACGACTTTGGTACTATTGAAGCATTATTGATACATATAACGTCATATAATATTGATGCATAAAACGTCATACCATATTAATACATATAACGTATTGATACATATAACATTATATAATATTGATGCATAATACGTCATACAATATTGATGCATTAAACGTCATATAATAGTGATACATTGATACGATACACATGAGTTCAAAAATATAAATTTAAATAATAGCCTGCATACAACGTTAAACGAAATTGATACATATAATGTTAAATAACATATACATTCATATAATACACCTATCACTGCCAATTGATAATAACGTTTAAAAAATACATAACGCCGTTTTTAGCGCGTGTTTCCAGACACACTATAATATAATGATTTATTGTGAATCACAACTTTCTAGAAGAAGCACAGTTACATTTTTGTAAAATTTATGTCACAATTGTATATGTCTCCCTTTTCTGTAATCTTTGTATCGTCATTGATGTGTGGGGCCGTATTTAAAGCTGTATTATCATTGTTATAGGGGATTTTATCAAACTCTTGTGTAGCAGTCCCGTGTTGCGAGGGTAAAATATCTTCCATGGCCTTACCCAGTGTTTCTGGTAATAAAAACCAAGTCAGAAAACCACTTAACCCCAATATTACTATAACTATAATATACGGTACCATCTCATTATCACTCTGAAAGTATAGAATAACACTATATCATATGGTATCATTATTACTCTGAAAGTATAGAATAATGGTATCATTATTACTCTGGAAATATAGAATAACACCATATCATATGGTATCATTATTACTTTGGAAATATAGAATAACACTATACCATATGGTATCATAATTACTCTGAAAGTATAGAATAGCATTATATCATATGGTATCATTATCACTCTGAAAATATAGAATAACACTATATCATATGGTATCATTATTACTCTGAAAGTATAGAATAACATTATATCATATGGTATCATTTTGAAATGAAATGAAATGGGGTTAACGTCGTACTGTTCTGCTCCTATACTGGACCAATGAAGACCGGCATACGCCATGCAGTGTGCTATGAGGGAAATTTTGCCCGGGCAGCGGCACTATGGCCTACTCTTATATCTAATACCGACTGCCAAGGGATCTTTTACGTGCACGGCTATGTATAAACGGGACCTCGGTTTTTCAGGCCCCCCGTCCTGCACCACTGACAAGGGGAAACCACATCGGAAAATCCTGATATTGGCCAGGGATCGAACATATTATTTTGAAGTGACTATGTCAATATACACAATGCAGATTCTCATTATTACTGTGATTATCACTCTGATAATATTCAATAGAAACTATGGTAACCGATAATCTTACCCCAGCAAAAATAAAAGGTGCTACAATTCCTCCAATACGTGCAGCCATGCTGGAAGCACCATATCCCAGATTTCTGTAATAAACACGTAGACATTTAACAGACATTCATGGACTAAAGTGGGGTTTAAATGTATATTCAACACAGACATGTCATTTTGAGACTAACACATGGTCACTTCTGTGGTAACGTGTGAAATGATAGGGAGAGGACATTTGTCAGAACAACGACGTTTTCGACTTATCTTCGTCGATTCTTTTACTTGCACACCGTTGTGTACAATAGTGGTCTACAGTTTTCCGTACCATTCAAATAAGGCCCCTCCATCTGGGCATTGACACGCTCGCTCATTAGGTGTGGGACACCACCATGTAAGCCCCTCTATCTCGGCCTTGATTAGACGTTGTATCTCAAAGGTGGATTTAGCCAAACTTCCCCTAACGCTAAATGTGTCAGAAGGAAGGTAAATCTCATTCAATATATATGGGTGACGGTTTACGTGACGACGTCATCTTAACTGACAACAGTAGGATAACTTTCATTGGTTACTGTCATCTTACCTGACAACTTTCATTGGTTACTGCCATCTTACCTGACAATAGTAGGATAACTTTCATTGGTTATTGTAATCTTACCTGACAACAGTAGGATAACTTTCGTTGGTTATTGTGTCTATTCCACCCCATGCCTTGCCTGTAAATATTCTAGCAGCCAATGATAGACCTGTTATAATTCCTCCTCTATAACTTCCGGTTACTGAAACAAAACACCATTAGAGTCAAAAGGAAGCAGGGTGTGATGACCTACATATAATTCGACTATTCAACTTATTTATCGTTTGATGTTTGTACCTGTATTCTGAACGATGACAACTCCTGCACAAGACAGTGTACCTCCAGCAAACATTATAGTTGCTACACAACGTCGACCATATCTACAAAATAAACAAAGAACATATTACACTCTCCAACAGCAAAGTCATCTGTGTTAGTTCTAAATTCGGTGTCAACAGATCTCCTCTTGCTTCTTTTAAAGACAAATCCAACTAAATAGACAGGGGCTGGCTGGGCCCTCGGACCAATTCGTTTCTTCGGACCCCCATCGCGGTGACGAATGCGTGACATGACGAGAAAACAAAACTAGTTTGCACCCTACTCATATAGACCCCTTTTCCCCTCGGATTTAAGTCATCATATATTTCATAGGATGTAAAAATGCATTTGATTTTTTAATTGTTTTTTCAATGGGGGACCGAGACCCATCCCCCCGCCCCCGTCGACCCGTATTATATGGGAGATGGATTAACACAAATTAAATATGTCCCTGTGTTACATTCATTACAAGGTTTACAGCGAGAATCTTATCATGGGGGATAACTCCACTGTCCACCAACATCAAACGGTATAATGTATATTTCAATAAATCTGCCATTTATAATATATTGCTTCTTCCGTTCTACAACCAGGCTTTTACTTGGTTTAGTATAGATCTGAACTTATCAAATCAAGTTGACCCTTTATAAATCTTATTATATATCACACTAGCGTGTTGGGGAGGGATTATCTAATACAATCAAATAAGGGTTTGTCTTTAAACAAAACCAAATGCGTGTAGATAACATTTTGCTTTATGTTCTGTAATGTGTATTTCAATAATATTAGTTCCTATGTAGACGCTGGCCCTTTACTTAGTCTCACATCGTCCAAAGTCCAAAATAAATTGGGAGGGGAAATAACTCAACTTGGACTAGTAATTATCTTCCCAGCGTTAAATCCATGGTGTTTCGATATATTGCTAGGTCTGTGCCGTTTTTAAAGGCCATTTGACTACTTCATGCCTTTTTATTTCATGATCCGTTCAGCTCCGAATCATAAATATTCACTAAAACCTGACAGACAATGTAAAGATGACATTCAAAAGAGGTGAAACGGGAGAAAAACAGCAGTGGGAGGAACCGGAGGAAAACCCACAAGGCTGGACAGGTAACCCTACTCCTTGTCACATACAAGCGAGGATTCGAAACCACGCCACGTGACCTTATGATACAACAACGCGCACGCGTTAACCATTCGGCCACCAGACTCCAGTACCATATATCTAGCCTCGGCTAAATGAAAAATTCCGCCATTGGAACTGCTTTCAAGTTACCAGATTACAAATAGCGGCACCCACGAGGACGCATGTGAAGAGTGTTTATTCATACAAAGCTTTCAATGTCTGGCTTTTTTTTTCAAGTTTTTCCGATCTTCGTTAAACAAGGGACAACTTTGCAATGAAAACTCTTCGAACGATGCCATTTCTAGAACTTCGTTCTAAAAGCGGCAATGTTTCCTAATAAATAAATCGATAGCCGCATTGCAATTATACAGCCGAGGCTAGCTGCAGGGTACCGGGATCAGCCGAGGTTTACCGAGTGATTGCAAATGATTTAAATAATACCTATTAAGGGCATATATAACTGGAAGAAAAACAGGAAACTCCAAAATATTCATCAGGAACAGGTTCAAGTAGAAATTACCAGAAAATTTCCCAACACCAAACGAAAACCCATAATACGAAGCCGAGACACACATCCTGAAGAAAACCACATTTAGATCGTTTGTAAACAGAAATAAGTATTCAAACCAATACAAAAATATTTTTGAACTATGCGCGCGCAATCACATAGTGTGCAAAATCTGAGGTCTAACTAACGATCCTCTAACCAAAAACTGTTTTGATAAAGTGAAATTTGGGAGGAACATCGTGGACATTTCTGGTATCACAACAGGGGCCTTCTGGTCTGTGAACAAGCATCGTGACTTAAACTGTCTGTCTACATTATAAAGCTTCACTTAAGAGCAGACGGGGGGGGGGGGCGATTGGTTAGCACGTGCGTGCTGTATCATAAAGCCTGTCATTGAGTCAACTTGCGTGGTTTCGAATTCCCGGTTGTACATGACAAGGAGTAGGGTCGCCTGTCCAATCTCGTGGGTTTTCTCCGGGTCCTCCGGTTTCCTCCCACGCGCAAGCGAATTATTGAAATCAAATTTTAAAAAAAACACATGTTAGTCCCGAAATGACCTAGTTTGTGTCGAGTCGACGTTAAACCCCATTTCTCTCTCTCTCTCTAAGAGCAGACACTAAGCTAGTTGATCGACATTTTAATTCCTAATTCGACGATATTAGTCGAAATCATTAAGTATACTTCGAAAATTTTGAGAGGTAATTTTTCGGCTTAAAATTAATAAAATTGAAAATGTTAATTGGTCTATGTGTGTATGGCAGATGCGAAACGAGGTAGAATCCCACTACAAAATAGCATACTAATATTTTAATAGGGCTGCAGAATGGAAACTAGGTTGACAAATGCCTGGTTAATGATTTAGCGGCGTACTCATCGTGCCGCACCATCGTTTGAAAGGCTGCTGAAATAGGGAAACTCACCAAACCACCTGAAGGACTAAAGTATGTCTAGCAAGCTTCCGGTTTCTATATAAATCTATGTACGAATATTTCTTTACTCCCTTCGTTCTGTTCTGTTCCTCGTCCCTTATTTTCATGATGATGTCCCTGGTGTTAACAGGTTTAGTTCTTCCATTCATTACTGCCACACCTTCTATGATTCTCTCGGCCTCGTCCAACTTACCTTTAACAGATAACCAGCGGATGCTTTCGGGAACAACGCTTCAAAGTACAAACAGACAGATTCAGCGCATAAATCAGAGGAAACAATAAAAATTATAAAATCTTCATAACTACTCTATTAGAGTCTTTTAAAATATTTTGAACCGTTTATGTGTATTTCGAGAAGTCTGCTGAAAGGTACGATGGACAATTTAGAACGCATGCTCATTCGAAACTGCATTGACAGTCCTTATGATCTGACACTCAAATCGGCGTCGTGATTCGATATTTCTACATACACGGAACCCTTTTTACATAAGCTTTAAACATACTTACAACCAGCCCAATAAAAATGGTAAAGTACTAACTCCAGCAGCGATATGCACATAACTCCAGTCATGCATCAACCATGCAGCAAGAGCCAAAAAACAAACCCCGGTAGCCCAGAAAGGAACAACAGTTACAGTCGGTCTCCATTTAAACCCCAGAAACTCTACAGGGAACATGCTGACCACCAAATAAGATCCAATAGTCGTTCCAATCAAACAGCGCATGACAATAAACGCCTGCCATGACGTAACAAATGCTATAGCAACAGTTAGAATAGAATGAAGTAATAGAGTAAGGTAAAAGGTTTTTTTACGACCAAACGTATCAGCTGATTGTCCAGCTACCACGGCACCGACCAACACGCCAGCCATCTGTATAGACGTTATAATAGGAGTTATCCATTTTCTTTCACACATCAAATCCCACTGAAAGGTAATTAAAACAATTTGATTTGGATCTTTTCTATTTCTATAACAGATATAAACATATAGTTGAGTTTGTCATATTTCAGTTAATGACCTTCACCTTCTTGGTGAAATTGATAACGGTTCTTTAATAAGACGTTGAAATGGACAGGAAGAAGGGTTAGCCAAACCAATACGTCGGGTGTTTTGGCACCATGTTCTTTCTGTGGCCCCCTCTTGTCAGCGGTGCAGGACAACGTATAGTCGTTCGGATGGGACGAAGTCCGGTATACATATTGGAGTGCAAGTAAAAGACCCCCAGCAGATGGAACGTGAGTGATATAAGAGTATGCCGTAGCGCCGTTATCCGGGAAAAATGGCCTTCATAGCGCACTGTATGGCCTATGTCCGTCTTCATTAATCATTAGGGTCGCCTGTCCAACCTCGTGGGCTTTCTCTGGGTCCTCCGGTTTCCTCCCACTGCTAAAGACCCTACGCGCATGCGAATTATTGAAATAAAATTAAACCCTATGTTAGTCCCGAAATGACCTAGTTTGTGTCGAGTGGACGTTAAACCCCACTTCTCTCTCTCTCTCTCATTATTCATTAGCCCAGTCAGAGCAGAACAGGACGTTAAATTCCATTTTATTTAATTACATGGTTACGCGTACAACGTCAATAGGGGATTTGTGCCTTCAAATCGAGTAGGGGATTTGTGTATCTGATTCTTCGATTTCAAGGTCTCTTTTACTTGCTCGACAATATGTACACTGGTGTTTTACACTCCAATAAGGCTGCATCATAAGGTCTGTCATTGAGTCGACTGGCGTGGTTTCGATTTCCCGGTTGTACGAGACAAGGAGTAGGGTCGCCTGTCAAACCTCGTGGGTTTTCTCCAGGTCCTCCGGTTTCCTCCCACTGCTAAAGATCCCTACGTGCCAGCGAATTATTGAAATAAAATTGAACCATATGTTAGTCCCGAAATGACCTAGTTTGTATCGAGTGTGCGTCAAACCCATCTCTCTCTCCCTCTCTCACTCTCTCTCCACCCCAATAGAACGTGAGATTACAGGGGCTTGACTGCCACCTATGGGTTGTGTGGCTCACTAAAACTGGTTTAAAATGATTTATTTGTGTTGTATGTATATATTTGGTTGACAAAATGAAATATGATGATAAACCAACAAACATAAACACACAGAATCCGTGTCAATATTTATATGGGGTAGAATTCTATTAACATACTTATAAAAAATGCAAAGAAGATATGTCGCACAGAATGACGTACGTTTTAGTTAAAGTTACAATTTCATATTTTTAAGTTTTATTATTAAAATATATTAAAATAAAGCCCTAAAATAGATGGTATTTATAAAAAGTCCTACCTTGTTAAAGAATAATGTGGGGGGAACAGGAGGACCTGGAGAAAAGCTACGAGTTTGGACAGGACACCCTACTCCTTGTCGTGTTCAACCAGGGAATCGAAACCACGCCAGTTGACTCAATGACAGGCCTTATGATACAGCGCGCACACGCCCAGAACATAGAGAAACTCCTAAATATCCCTTACAGTAAAAGTTGGGTTCTCTTGTGGTAATATTGTGAACTTTGCTTCCTTTTTCTCAATGGACGGGCTTTGTCCAAATGCCTCTTGGGCTTCGGGTTTATTGGTCTGGTCTGCAAGATGGGGAGTAGGGTGGTGAGGCGGAGTACGGGGGGGGGGACTCTCCAATACTTTTTATAGTATCACCACCTAATTCAAACCATACCGCCTATGTATATAATCTCCAAAGCAATGGCATTCTTGACATAGTTATCTCGAGCGCCTGAGATAATTGTAATTTACTTGTCCTAAATCAGCCACTGCAGTAAGGCTCTGATTATCTTGGTTTACTGTCTTATCAAAGTCAAAGGTAGTATTATTCTAGACTCGTGTTAAATCATTCCAAGGTTAATAAAAAAATATTTGAAATTGAGTTACGTACCTCTGTAACCACGGTTCTGGCATAGTCATCATAGACTCTAGTACAAGTCGAGTTACCGTCATCAGCACAATATTTATACGTCACATTATTCCTGCTATTATTAGACATGACGTCATCAACACACCACCAATCATTGACGTAAGCACCAAATGACATCAGAAGCATGTTGTAGCCTATCGAAAGCTTAGGTACCAGAATCATGAAAAGCATCAAAACTTGGAATTTCCCATAAGAACCTATTTCTTCTATTAAATTATCCAAATGCATCTTGTTCCAGTAATACAGACAATAGTTTAATTCAGAATGGACAATCGATAGTTTCACCACTCTCTCTCTATAGTATGTTGGTATCAATACAGATTTGGGTCCATTTTTATTAAGTTTTAATCTTTTTCTCAAGTGGTTGTTGACAGAGAGACAACTCCCTGATCATAATCTTGTTTATATGACCCTCGACCTATATTTTTATCGGATTATTATTATTATTATTACGATGACAATGTTATTATTTTAACATATATGTTCATCATTTACAATAGAGTTCAGATGTCGCTTTACAACCCATACATGAGTGGCATTTAATACTTGTGTGCTGACACACACAAAATTGAATAGTCTAAAATCAATAAACTATCGACACGTTTCTTCCATTCTTCAGAGAGAGAGAGAGAGAGAGAGAGAGAGAGAGAGAGCGACAGAGAGACAGACAGAGACAGAGAGTGATAGAAATGTGGTTTAACGTCCACTCGACACAAACTAGGTTATTTTGGGATTAACATATGGTTTAATTTATTTCAATAATTCGCTTGCTCGTAGGGGTCTTTAGCAGTGGGAGGAAACCGGAGGACCCGGAGAAAACCCACAAGGCTGAACAGACGACCCTACCCCTTGTCATCTACAAACGGGGAATCGAAACCACGCCAGCTGACTCAATGACAGACCTCATGATGCAGCGCGCACGTGCTAACCATTCGGCCATCTGCCCCACCCCTTCCATTCTTCATAGAGGACAGAAATGTAATACGAATAGTTTTCTAATTCTTATTTGTAAAAGAGAAACAATCTTACATTTAGAAGCGGATATTTATGGTGGCTGATTGGTATCATGTCGTAATGTCGTGATGTCGCCTTTCATAACGCGACAACCCGACAACCCGACATCACGACATTTCTACCCGACAACACGACAACCCGACAACCCGACATCACGACATTTCTACCCGACATCACGACATTTTTACCCGACATTACGACACTAAAAATGTCGTGATGTCGGGTAAAAATGTCGTGGTGTCGGGTTGTCGTGATGTCGTGATGTCGGGTTGTCGACTTTCATGATCAATGTTATAAGCGGCCACGATGATATTCATAACAAAAAACTGGCAATTAAGAAAATGGTTGATCAAGTGGAAGTAGATTCACACCCACATTGCAGTTTGAGTTGCATTCGTATCTATTTGTATACGTCCACATTCATAATGTGAACCGTCTTCATTAGCTCAGTCGGAGCAGAACAGTAGGACGTTAAACTCCATTTCATTTCATTTGTCACGCCCACTTTTCGTGAATATTTTGTAATTCTTATGAGATTTTTTTCAGACTTGGCATGATCAAGACAGGATGGTAAACACTCTACAGGTTGCAAATTTTATACGCACACATTGAAATATATCGTCGTCGCCCCCGTCTGTCCGTCAGTCCGTCCGTCGGTCAGATTGTGGACTCTCTAGGGCCTAAAGTTATCATTCGATTGGTTTTAGACGGGGAGCCTTTCATAACGCGACAACCCGACAACCCGACATCACGACAACCCGACAACCGGACATTTTTACCCGACATTACGACATTTTTAGTTTCGTAATGTCGGGTAAAAATGTCGTGATGTCGGGTAAAAATATCGTGGTGTCGGGTTGTCGGGTTGTCGTGATGTCGGGTAGAAATGTCGTGATGTCGCGTTGTCGGGTTGTCGCGTTATGAAAGGCGACATCACGACATTACGACATGATACCAATCAGCCACCATATGTAATAGATATCTTTAAGAAATGAAACATCCCCAGTTTTTATATATTATGACCTTCCATGGGAGAGCTTTGTAAAGCAGTATAAACCTAACAAATACAATACCACTAGCAAGTGAAGGAGAACCGTACTACATGAGAGAGAGAGAGAGAGAGAGAGAGAGGGGGGAGGGGGAGAGAGGGAGAGAGAGAGAGAGGGGGAGAGAGAGAGAGAGAGGGGGAGGGAGAGAGAGAGGGAGAGAGAGAGAGAGGGAGGGAGAGAGAGGGAGAGAGAGAGAGAGAGAGAGAGAGGAGAGGGGGAGAGAGAGAGGGGAGGGAGAGAGAGAGAGAGAGGGAGGGAGAGAGGGAGAGCGAGAGGGGAGGGAGAGAGAGGGAGAGAGAGAGAGACACACACACACACAGAGAGCTTTGTAAAGCAGTAACCTTACAAATACAATACGACTGGTAAGTGAAGGAGAACCGTACTACATGAGAGAGAGAGAGAGAGAGAGAGAGAGAGAGAGAGGGAGGGAGAGAGAGAGGGAAGGACAACCGTACTACATGCAAAACGAAATCGACAAGACAAACCTACGGTGAAGACAAATTAGACAGACATTGTAAGAAATAAACCACAAATATCAAATCACGTGAATGGATCCGAGGGCCAGTAACAAACGCCAACTGCGCTGCACAGTTCCGGGCCAGTGATAATACAGGCTTCAGTCAAAATGAAAAAAAAATCTAATAAATACTTATACATGTATTATACAATAGATATTTTTCCACGGTTATGTATGTCACATTATATTACATAATATACGCGTAACACTTGTATAAAATTTATTATATAACATTCACTAGTTGTTTGCTTCGTCTCTTACGACGATTAAAATGTCTTATTGAAAGGGTTAATCTTTGTAGATTTATCTGTAACCCCCTTAACGTGTTTAATAATGCTCCGAGTTAAGTTCTGAACTGATGATAAAGTTAGTTAATGTACGACAAGAGAAATATGGCCAGTATTACTTGCTATGTCAGTCTCGAATAAACATGTCTATATATAGTAATGTCCAAAAGAAAGTATACACACTTAAAATATGACTACGTTTTGTTTAAAGCAACAAAATGTGATAAAACTACACTGAACATGTCCCGTGCATCCAAACTCAATATTTCTAACCAAAAAAACGGCAAAACAAATTGACATCGTACCCAAATAACGCATACAATGGAAAAACGACTTTGTTTGAAGCAGGACGAAATGCTCCGTGTATACTTTCTTTTGGACATTAGTATATTTTATTTGGAAGCTACGATATTGTTTCGCGGGTATTAAAGCAGTTGCCAATATCACTCTTCAGTTATGGTCAGTGAAAAGAGAGTTGTGTCCCTTCAATTAAAATATATACTACAAGAAACCCGTGATTATGCAACTGGACAGTCGAGTAGGAAACCAAGTGAGCCTATGGACACATAATTCTGTTTTTTAAAGATGAAGGTACAAATCGAAAAAAGTGGGTGTGACCTTTTGAAAAATTGCTATTGACATATATATATATAAAGGGGCACATAACTCTATTCTTTAGGACCTTAAAATAGACGAAGATGATTGTAAAAGCACGTATTAATGTAATATGAATGTATGTAAAATGATTTATATTCAATTTATAATAATTTGTATTTGGTGAAACACTTTTGCAGTCCAAATTGATCTGGGGTCACTTACGCCTGCTTAGTAAATTCTACAAGTTTTTAAAAATGAATATTTTGTTGGTTTTTTTTTGTTGGTTTTTTTTTGTGAATCAGCCATTACTAATTACTTTTGCCTTGTCTGGAAGAATAGGTTTTATTTTTGTCCATTACAATTGGCGCCCGAACCCATTAAATACACGATTCTTGTATTGATTTTAACATGTTCGTTTTATTTTAAATATTGAATATTATGATGCAATATTATCACGGCAAGATACCAACATCAATAAATATTGAAATGGACTAATATTGAATTTTTGTTGGTTTTTTAATTTCGAATTTTATGGAAAATATTGAGTTAGAGCAGTGGTTCTCAACCTTTTTTGCCAACGGCACACCTTGGAACACATGAATAAATAGGGGCACAGCTGGCTAAATATGAAAAATATTTGAAAAACATGGTAGGTTAGGCGGCATACAACTGTAGACAGAGACTAGTCATAGACACAAAGATTGACTCAAAATAAGTAAAGAAAAACACAGCTATGAACTTATCAGTAGACAACAGTGAATACTCGACCGGTATTATACGGTGTCTGGATAAAACCAGACTTTTATTTTATAAAAATAATGTGTAGAAGAAATTTACCTTTCGTATCAAGTACAGCACATGGGTCAATCACTGTATAGACCTCTAAAGGAACGGGAATCGATTATCAGGTCACCCAACAAAAAAATCGACCCAAAATCTTAAAAGGGTTACGTGTCCGGATAAGGGAGAGAGGACGTGCGAGAGAGAGGGTGTGAGAGAGAGAGGGCAAGAGTGGGGGAAGGGGGAGAGAAGGAGAAGGGAGAGAGGACGAGCGAGAGAGAGGGTGTGAGAGAGAGAGGGCAAGAGTGGGGGAAGGGGGAGAGAAGGAGAAGGGAGAGAGAACGAGCGAGAGAGAGGGTGTGAGAGAGAGAGGGCAAGAGTGGGGGAAGGGGGAGAGAAGGAGAAGGGAGAGAGGGCGAGCGAGAGAGAGGGTGTGAGAGAGAGAGAGAGAGAGAGAGAGAGAGAGGGGGGAGGGAGGATGAGAGAAATGGAGTTTAACGTCCACTCGACACAAACTAGGTTATTTTGTGTATAACATATCGTTCAATTTTATTTCAATGATTCGCTTACGCGTAGGGGTCATTAGCAGTGGGAAGACAATGACCCGGAGAGAACCCACGAAGTTAGACAGGCGATCCTCATGGTCTAATACTCCCGTCAGACCGGAGTGGCGTTCGTTTTTAGCAAAGGTTCTGCGATCTGACCTGGAGAGCTATGAGAAAGCGGCTTTATTCAAGTTGGTAATTTTTGGGGACATTAACTCACGTTGTGTTCACTATTGCCGGTGACCTTGTTCATTTTCTGGTCGCCGTACGGTCGCAGAAGCGCTGTAAGGACACAATCCCGGTCTGATGGGGACATAGCACACTCAACTCTCCTGAACACCATTGAGGAAAACAACCTGAAAATCCACAGGTTTTCGTGGACCCCAATCCTCATAATGGTGGTTCGGCTATAAAAAGAAGTTTTTGATAAAAAAAAAAACATAACTCAAATTATACATGTGCTGATAAATAGTACAATTGTTTAACGCCCCACTTTAAAAGTTATTAAATTAGTTGGTGTTGAAGTTGATCCTCTACTTGACCTCTATACAACAAGTTAATTAGTTTAATTATTGAACAATGTAATTAATTAGTGAAAGTACAACAATTAAAATCTGACCTTCAACAATCATCTGATGTTTGGGTAACAAGGTTCCCAGTTCAAAATGAAATGTAGTTTAACGTCCTACTTTTCTGTGCGAGCTGGGATATTGACGATCGGCATACGGCATACAGTGTGCTATGAGGGGGATTTTTCCCGGGCAGCGGCACTTTGGCCTACTCTTATATCGAATAAAATGAAATGAAATGGGGTTAACGTCCTACTGTTCTGCTCAGAATGGGATAATAAAGACGGGCATACTACGTCATACAGTGTACTATAAGGGGAATTTAACGGTTCAATTACGTTCAAGCAAACGACTAGACACTGTTCTTTGTCAGGCTCCCCGTCTTGCATCTCTGGCAAACAGAAACTACGATAGAGTTCCCAGATGTTAACTGTCAGGGAGGGCAATATTGCCCGCGTTGCGATCTTTCCGCCTACACGTCTTAAAATTCCAGTTGCCAAGGCTTCTTTTGTGAGAACGTCAGCTGTCAAGGCTTCTAATGTGTACACGAATAGACGGAGTTGGGGGATGCTCGTACTATCCGAAGGACTAGGCACAACACGTGCATCCTATGACAATGTTCTCGTCGACCCCCTCTGGGATTCGAACCCGTACTACTGCGGCCCGGCGTAATAACAATTACCACCCAATTGGGTAAGACGCTAGCTCACTAGCCTGGAGGTCGGGTGTTCGATCCCTGCATTGGCCGAGAAAGTTCATCTGGATTTTCCGACGTGGTTTCCCCTTGTCAGTGGTGTAGAACGGAGGGCCTGACAAGGACAGCTGTATAGTCCTTCGGATGAGACGAAAAACCGAGATCCCGTGTATACATTTGAATGCACGTAAAAGATCCTTTGGCAGTTGGAATTCGATATATGAGTAGGCGATAGTGCCGCTGCCCTGGCAAAATTTCCCTCATAGCACACCGTTTGGCGTATGTCCGTCTTCATTAGCCCAGTATAGGAACAGAACAGTAGGACGTTAAACCCCATTTCATTTCATTTCACCACCCATACTTGCTAACTAATGCAACATAGTTAAGGCATCATGGTGTAAGAGCTATCTGTCTATTGACGGTCTTTAATTATTATTTAGACATTTACTCTCTCTGTCTCTCTCTGATCTTACATCGTGCGTGTTTAATGAGCAGTGTTAAGGAGGATTTCGTTTCGTATTTCCTTTTGTTGGTAGACGGGGGTGGGAGCGAATGGTTAGCGCGTTATATCATAAGGTCTTCCATGGAGTCAACTGCTAAAGACCCTCAACCGCAAGCGAATTGTTGCAATAAGAATTGAACCATATGTTAGTCTCGAAATGAGTCGGGTTGACGTCAAAATATCTCTCGCTCTCTCCCTCTCTCTCTCTCTCTCTCTCTCTCTGTTGGTGGACCCCCCACCCACCTGGTTAGCGATAGGCCTCACCAGCAACCTTAATAGACTAATTACACTTACGATCAATGTGCACCGATTCAAAGAATGATATTGACAACGTATAGAGAGAGTTTTTATAGTCATTTCAATTGTGATCATTTCAAGCGAATCATAGAAAGTATATACATGTTATAGAATTGATATGAAATATTAATGTACACAATTTTTTTACAATACATCATGCGCTAGTATGTCGGTTTCATTTTGATGTCTTTCTAAATAAATTATGACTGCGTCTCAAATCAAAAGGAATGTCATTTGAGTGAAGTTATGTGACTTCAACACGACGCCTGTACGTGAAAATAAAATAAAACCAAGTACGAACAATCCAAACCATAAGACAGAACTCGAAGTCCTGAAAAACGTTATAGGCAAAATAGTGTAATCAGGCAAAATGGTGTAATCAGCAAATGGACTGTTCACCGTGTACAAAATACACGACAAGCAGTGGTAACAGGTGTCCGGAAGAGTAAGCTTACCCTGCCTGGCGCCACACCCGCCAAGGAACATGACAGGGAGTAGGATCGCCTCTTTAACCTTTTTGGTTGTCGCTGGGTCCCCGGGTTTCTTCCTTTCCTAAAGACCTCTACGCGTAAACGAGAAATTGAAATAAAATTTTACCACATGTTAGTCCCGATATAACCTAGTTAGTTTTTGTTGCATGGACGTTAAACACCGTTTTTCTGTTTCTCCCGAATACAAAAAAAAAGACAGATTGGTCTTGTGAAGTGCAGTTGATTGTGTATTACTGGTAACATGCCTAACGAGAGGCGGCTGGGGGGGGGGGGGGGGGTGCAGCCCGTGGCCCCGCCCCAGGGCCCACAAGAGTCTATGGGGACCATGAATATCAAATTTCAAAATTGAAATGGGCAATTTTGGTCCACAGACCTTTTAAAAAGATTTTTGATTCCTCAGAACATAATATATAGCGTAACTGAATCAGCTAGATATGACTAGAGTGGGAAGGTGTGGGTGGAGGGGGGGCAAGAAAGATCTCGCCCAGCACATTGTTTTCCTCCCAAGGGCCCTGGGCTGGTACTGTTTTTGTATTGCTAGTTCCTTTCGCAAATTTATCATTGGAAAATCCCAGACTTTCCGGAATTAAAGACATTAACACAAATCGGTTCAATCATGACATTCTGTCCACAGATTTATCCATTCTCGTATTACTTCCAGACTCCAATATTGTAACTCATTGATTGTTGGTCTTCCAGTCAAAAGCTCCCCCCCCCCCCACCAACTCATTCAGAACAAAGCTACTTTAACTAATGCCCAACCATTTACATATCACCTCCATTCTCAAAAACTGGCTTGAAATGAAATGAGGTTTAGCGTTTTACTGCTCTTGCCCGACTAGACTAAAGAAAAAATTAAATGTGGTTTAACGTCCTATTGTTCTACATGCATCGCGTGGGCTAATGAAGATGGGTGTACGTCATTCAGCGATGCGGGAAATGTTGTCCTGACAGTGGCGCTACGACCTACTCATATTTCAAATTCCCACTGTCAAGGGTTCTTTTACGTGCACGCTAATGTGTGCAATCACTATACATATTGACTTGCCAGACCATCCGTCCTGCACAAATCACAAGGGGATGGGTGTGTGCGTGTGTGTGGGGGGGGGGGGGCATGCTAGAATTTCCCGTTGATCTTTCTCGGCCCAACAGCGGGATTTACCACAAGGAGGTTTGGAAGTCAGCCACTAAGTCCCATAAATGAATATAAGAAAATCTTAAGAATTATAAATCCCATCGTCAACTTCGTTCACGTCGTTGATAAAAAGTCAACGCTCCTGAGGACCAGTTCAAGTTTCAGTCTGTTGAACGAGAATCCAAAAAACAGAATTGTTTTTAAAGGCCTCCCTACATGTTGTAAAATATGATCGGTTTTACCACATATGTTGATATTATATCTGTACCACTATCTGTTTCACATAGTTTGATGCTTTAACGTGCACCTAAAATATCCCTTGACAGTTGGAATTCAATGTAAAAGTAGGCCGGGTTAAATTTTCCTCATAGCACACTGTATGGCGTATACCCGTCTTCATTAGCCCAGTTCGGAGCAGAACAGTAGGACGTTAAACCCCATTTCATATGATACTCTATCACTATCTGTCTAAATGGATTCTGCTATTTTTGATTTTAGTTTTTTATTAAATTTATAGACAGAGAAGTGGGGTTTACCGTCCACTGGGCGCAAACTTGGTCATTTCGGGACTAATATATGGTTCAACTGCATTTCCATAATTCACATGCGCGTATGTTTTTTGTATTTTTTTTTTAGGGGGGGGGGGAGGAATCGAAAAAAAAACCCACGATGTTAGACAGGCGACCCTACTCCTTGTCAAGTATAAGCGGGAAATCTAAATCAGGTCAACTGACAATCTGATCAAAATACAGATATATATTTCGTTTCGTTTTTTATACTTCCAATGGCCTCTACTACATGAAGATCCGACAAGTTGTAGTGGGGGGTCGCGTCAGGGGTCATACGAACAGCGTTTAACCCTATGACGTCATTGTCTATGTAGGAGTCTTTAGACGTGGAAGCAAACCAGATTTTTTAAATGTGTGTTCGACGCGCCAGCATTTATTGTTGCGCTATACAAGCCCAATATAGTATATTAAAAGAAATAAGTAAATTTATCTATTTTGTCAATATAAATAAACTTTTACAAGGACACGGATGGTGATCTTAATTAACAGAAGAATAGCATGTATCAGTCATTTCGAGGATGTTTTTGTCTGTTCCCGCTGTTCGATTGTTTATATAAAAGACATAAAATAATAATAATCTATGAAATATTAATCATGAAATTCGATCAAAGCATAGCTTGTGTCTTAAATATTGAATACTAGCAGGATACCCGGCTTCGCTCGGGGGTCATAACTCCGAAACCGGAAGTGGTAGACTAACGCCACCTGGCCTATGTCACTCCCCGGTCCGAGCTACCCCTATACCCCAACCCTGAACAGACCGGTTCGCTCGGGGGTCATACCTCCGAAACGCCACCTGGCCTAAGTTACTCTTCGGTCCGAGCTACCCCCTATACCCCAAATTTCAGACTCGGGGCAGACCTAGTGTAGCCGTCAACCCCGAACAGACAGACAGACAGATACCCGGCTTCGCTAGGGGGTCATAACTCCGAAACCGGAAGTAGTAGACTAACGCCACCTGGCCTATGTTACTCCCCTGTCCGAGCTACCCCTATACCCCAAATTTCAGACTCGGGGCAGACCTAGTGTAGCCGCCAACCCCGAACAGACCGGCTTCGCTCGGGGGTCATAACTCCGAAACCGGAAGTGGTAGACTAACGCCACCTGGCCTATGTTACTTCCCGGTCCGAGCTACCCCTATACCCCAAATTTCAGACTCGGGGCAGACCTAGTGTAGCCGCCAACCCCGAACAGACAGACAGACAGACAGACAGACAAACAGACAGACAAACGACAGTCACAAATATATATATAGAAGATCAGGAGCCCATATTTCACGGTAACAACATCAATATGGATTGAAAGTACCAATATTGAATTCTAATTCGTGTTTTTAATATTACCAATATTATAGCTACTATTGAGTTTGTTCTATACTACATTGTGTTGGGTGGTCGGATGGCTAACACATTGCGCGATGGATAATAATGTCTGTCATTGACTCATGTGGCGCGGTTTCGATTCCCCGGTTGTACGTGACACGGAGTAGGTTTGCCTGTCCAAGCTCGTGAGTTTTCTCCGGGTCCTTCGATTCCCTCCCAGTGCGAGCAAGCATTGTATTAACAACAGACGTCAGGACTTCTTCATACTTAGTAGACAACAGGTAGACGAAGTGTGTGTTAATTAACGTCAAGCGATAAACAACCGAGAGCAATTAGTGCCGTCCACTTAAAAGAACAATTAAATTCGATCATTGATTCTAACAAACTATCGAATTCAAAGTCCGTGAAGACAAAATAGATCAGCAAGAGACACCTGAAGGATAGCATAATCTTACAGCCATGGCTCACGGTGTAACACTGGTCCTAATCATGTCTATGTCGGTTGTTTGCGCCACAAACAAAATGTGTGCAAACCTGGACACTTTCGGATATAAAGTTTCAAGAAACACTTTCCGTACTGGAGAAATGATTTTAACAGTTGAAGGAAGTGAATTGGTCACATGCATGCGAACATGTCTTGAATATAATCTGTGTTCATTTATCAATTTCAATACTGAGTTGGTTGTATGCCATTTGATGACACCAAAAGACAATTTGATGACTCAAGAAGGCACCCCGACCACTATCGAATCTCTGGGTGTAGTGTCCAGCATGGCGAGTTCATGGACCAAGGATATATTGCGTGGTCCGTGTTTCAATCACAGTTGCCCGAATAATACCCATTGTATCGTTCACGATCAAGAGATGGGCGAATGTGAAGTTATTGGTTGTGTGGGTGCACCATCGGTATCATATATTAACCAAAGCGCTTTTCAGATCAAGACTACGTGGCATATAGACGAGGTTGTCATGTTACCGTGTTTATATGAATCTTCAGGGTCAGCGAATTGTACTTCCGGTGGCTCCTGGTCTGAATTTGAATGTCAACGAGGTAAGTTAAAACTGGACAGGAAAAATAATACAGAAAATTACGTTCGAACTCTGAAATCACTTTTATCTTAATTTGTTATTGTTTCATTTAATCTCTGGTTATTTCCAATTACCGCATAAAAACTACAGATACACTGAAACTGTATAAGGCATTTGATGAAATAGCATAACGTCTTAAGCCTTTGATGAAATAGCGTATCGTCTTTAGCCTTTGATGAAATAGCGTATCGTCTTAAGCCTTTGCGGCACAGGGACTCATTGAGTATGATGCTGGCTCACAAGAGTTCCTAGGTTCGATCGCGGTGTTTTCCCAGACAATTCCTGGTTCTATATTCTCCTGGTGCAATAGAAAAGTATTGGCAAGGAATAGCGTCTAGTTCTTTAGATAAGGCAAAATACCGAGGCCCCTGAAAGTCGCAAATTGAACTTATAGTAGACCCGATTGGCGAACAAGAATTAAAGTGTTTCAATATGAGTCATCTCTGTGATAGCTGGTAAATTATTTGGAGATATTTCCGATCAAAAGGCTGTATTTGTTTAATTTCAGTTCCGCCGACAGACTGTTCCGATGCCGTTGATAAAAATTACACTGTAGGGGATACCCCGATCATTATTGACGTTGATGGCAATGGTCCATTAGAGAAAATAGAAGTTACTTGTGATGGGAAGTCTACAGTTATTGGTAAGTTTACAGTTATTTATATGTTTTCTGTTTTTAGAAAGTTTACAGTAATCAGTAACTTAACTGTTATTTATAAGTTTTCTGTTTTTAGAAAGTTTACAATTATTAGAATGTTTACAATTACTAGAAATAAAATAAAACCAAGTACGAACAATCCAAACCATTAGACAAAATTCAAAGTCCTAAAAAACGGTATAGGCAAAATAGTGTAATCAGGCAAAATAGTGTAATCAGCATATGGACTGTTCACCGTGTACAAAATACACGACAAACAGTTAAGTTTACAGTAATTATTAAGTTCACAGCTATTATTAAGTTTTGCAGTTATTATTAAGTTTACAGTTATTAGCAAGTTTACTGTATTTAGAAAGTATTAAAATACAAAATAAATCATAGCGAGGTGTAATTCTGTATCTACATTAAAATATAAATCTTTAATGAAGTCATTACTTTCTTCTGATCCTATATTACCATCAAAGCAGCTA